ATCTCCACACACTGGGGCCAATCCTTGCTGCCACTGCTGGAGCTTCGCTGCTTTCTGTGCCTGCACTGCCACAGCTGCTGGGGAAGACAACGGCACAATTCCACTCTGCCTCTCAGTTACACTCACACACTGGGCTGCCTGCGATTCCATGGTCAGAAAATATACCAAGTCTAATTTTAAAAATCTATTTCTCTACTCAGGCTTCATGTGCCTTTGCATTGGGGAAACGAATTTTAATGAGAATGTTCCTCCACTCAATAGAGATGAGTTTAACATCTCAAGAGACTGGGAATAGCCCAAAAGATACTCACAAAGATAAGGACCATTAAGGCCCATCAGCAAACATCAAGGAACACCCACCCCAGACACTGCCCCTGGCATAGTTGGAGATGCCTGGTCTGCAAAAGGCTGAAGGAAATCCAGGAGTGCGAATCTAATTAATATAGAGGGGAAGAAACCCGGGTCCGATAGGAAATTAAATATTCAGAACTACACAACTTGGAAGCAATGAACATAAAACCAATGGATTTCTATAGGTTTTGGACTGTAAAAAGTTAAGGGAAAATCGAGTAAAACTCACATCTCATGGAATGATATTCTCTGCACACCCGGACTATGTATGGCTGAAATTATTTCTGTTGCACATCCTGGCCAGAATCAAGTAATGCCTTGATTCTCTAACAGTAGAAATGGTGTTGAAGACTTTTGGGTCCTCCTGCAGTTTTGGTGACAAGATTGCACCATTAGAATATTTTTTCTTAATAATCCTACTTTTATATTTTCAGTTAAGATTGGGCCAAGAGTGTGAGAACCACGTTTTAGTGCTAGGGGAATAAGTAGAAAAAATCTTTATTCCTTTGGGGACTTTTTGTGTATGTTTATGAGTGCTGTTAGTGATGGCAAAATTTTGGTATGGAATTTGTAATGTTCACTGTTAACCTTTAGGCTGCATTTGGCAAAACCAGAAGCCCTGTAATATTTAATAGAATATTGTTTTAGAAAGAGACCAAAAAAGAAGAGCAGCGGGAGGGGGGAGGGGAGAGAGGAAGAATATGTGAGTCACCTGATGGGCTTTCAAGAGGTGCTTGAATTGGGGAAAAGGGGGTTGGATCCCCAGAGGTAGCAGGAGGGACCTGGAGCTGTCCGCTTTGAAACTACACCCCAAAAATACTGAAAAGAAGGGATTCCTCCCAGAAAAAA